AAGAAAGAAAGAAAGAAAGAAAGAAAGAAAGAAAGAAAGAAAGAAAGAAAGAATAATCGTGAGCTGTCTGCCAGTTGCATCGTTTGCTCCCATCGTAAGGGAGTCCAGCACTTCGTACAAATCGTGAACTGCAAATATTATTCCGCTCAGGACAGCTTCCCAGCGCCAAGGAATTATTTTACCTGATTAAAGCCACTACTTTCATCCTGGATAGGTGGAGAAAAACAATCAGAAAAAGCCCAGGCTAAGCCAGAACCATCAGCCACGCGCACCTATAACCACTCCAACCCACGTGCGCCTCTGCGGCTGATGCTGTTTGAGGTTCCTTCCTTTCCCAGAAAGTCCCACCTCTGGAGTCTGTCTCCGAAAGTGCCTGAACGACAAACGGCAGCCTGACTAAAAAGCTAGCGCGGCATCAGCACTGTGCTTTCTGCCGAAGGCTTGTTCGTCGAAATCCTTGGATCACGAACGCGGATGCAAAATGCGGAGTGAGTTTAACAGCGCTTTAGGGGGTGGAAAAAGAGATAAAATATAGGCATCATGTTAGATAGCTAGGAAATGGCAATACGGGGGCTTTGCGTTGAGGGCAAAGCTGAATGTTAGTGAATGTATTTGTTGTTTAGTTAGTTCCTGGATTAAAGTAGGCTTGCGCTATAAAACTTCAGAAGTGTGTTTTACTTCTTTTTCCAGTGTATTTAATACATTTTAATTTGTGAAAGACTTTATTCTGTAAAATTGCCTTTAATGCTAAGCCAGGGCCCGGATTCAGAGAGGGCTTATGGTTTTTTCCCCCCTGTGATCGTTGAATGGCCAGTCTGCGGACGCGGGTCGGAGAACATTAAAATCAGAGTTAGTTGGAATACTAGTACCTCTCCTCTTTTTTATTATTAACAAACCAGTGAGAAGTTGCATTGGAATTGCATAAAAGGACTTGGAACTCTGTATTTCTGTTACCAACAGGGTAATTCAGAACTGCACCAAATGGGTGTGGAAGAAAATCCAGGAGAAGAAAGGTCGAAAATGGACTGGAAGCAACTCGAAACTGCAGAGAAAGACCATTCAGAATGAAATCCTCCAACGCATTGCTATGCGAGAGGCAGTCGGGCAGGCGCCACATGGGGCTGACTGTTCTATTTTAAGTCCCCTCCTTTTCCTTCTAATCAAGTGACCCAGCTCAGATTATCCTACTTACACATGATGGAGGGTGGACAGTCTCTCCTATTCAAGCCAGAGTTCTCACTCGAGGCACAAGTGACCTAGCTCAAAGTATACTACTTCAGACACATTACGCGAAGACCCAGCTCTCTGGAGAAAGCTCTAAAGCTGGGAAAGGTGGAACGAAAGAGAAAAGGTCGACCAGCAGCAAGGTGGATAAACTCAGGTACAACGGCAATGAGTGCACATTGGAAGGCCTGAAAGGCCACTTTAGGAACAGATCGTCACACAGAAAATCTATCTGTGGTTGTGAAGAGTTGACAACAACTTGGTGGCCTGTAATCAATCATTCAGTATGTCCTATGGTATACTATACACAGAGATACAACAAGGGGAGATCAGCAACCTACCCATGGCACAGCACATGCGCCTGTGCTAATTAAAAGCGCTCTCTCTCACTCTCTCTCTCTCTCTTTCACACACACACACAGACATTTCAGCCCCACTAGGTAGGCCAGACCAGGAAATCAACTCCACGGGAAGACTAAGACTATTTTGGGGGGGATTGGCTATAATAACAGAATCCTGCAAGGCTGATTGTACTGTACCTCCTCCCCTTCTTATACAGGTAGTCCCCAGTTTAAAAACATTCCCAAGGTCTATTCTTAAGTGGAATTTGTATGTAAGTCCAGAGTTGCTTTTTAACGAGATGGGCGGTGACAAATTGGATATATAAAATAAAATTAAATAAATAAATAAATAAAGCCAGAACAGTATTATAGTATGCTGTATAAGTAGTGTTGTGCAATGAACTCAAACCATTGTGTATTTAATTCAAATCATTGTATATTTAACTCAAATGTTGCTACAATAGGCTCCATTCTTAAGTATGGGTCATCTGTAACTCGGGAGTTCTTAACCCAGGGGATTACCTGTACTCCAGTGAATCAAGTCGCTTCCAAATATCTCATTTTGCTGGACTTAAAGATATTTCAGCCCCTTTTGCCTAGATAATGGTTCCTGCATATCTCCGACAAGGTCATCTTACTTATTCTCTATAGGACAACACATATGAACCTGGTCTGAGTAGACACATACACAAAAGCAACACAGATGCATCTACCTTGATTAGACACATACAAGAAATGTGTATCTACATACCACAATTAGTTCCTGGGGAGAAAACGCATATACACATATACCATAACTCATTACTTTGGTACATAGAAGAAAATACAGATGCCTCTATGGCCCCTGCCATAGAGGTTAGAAAAAATTCCAAGAGTCATACTCTCTACACTTTCCCTACCTTGTTTTTAATAAATTAATCCTATGTAAAAGCACTGAAATCTAAAAATATATGTTTGGATTAAATCCCACAATGCATTATTTTTATTGCTGATGGTATTCTAGGGACAGTTCCCATTTATCAATCATCTCGAATCTGAGGTTTGCTAATGTTGGATCATATCTTTGATTATTCCTAATGCAGGTGGCAGAGATCAGGCTGGAGAAGGCTTGCCATATCTATTTACACAAGCATTTTCTGAAAGTATAGGGATAGAAGCTTTGCTATAATTTCTAATTAGTACTGCAATGTTAAAAATGATGTGCTACTAGGGGCATCTGCATGGAGAGTCAAAAATGTAAAAATGGCAACTGCTCAATTTAACATCCCATTTACCTTTTTATTTGTTCCCTCCTCTCCCCCCAACACCACTGGGTGCTATCGTTGTAAACAATGGTAGAAAAAATCATATCAGAAAACCAGGTAGGGAATGCTGCTTGTATTTTACACTTTCTAATCTGAATTGGCTTCTCTAAAAAAAAATATGTTAGAATTACTCTATAAGGAGGAAGATAATTGTTTAATGGTCCAAGATACTTCACTGTCAGATCAGATCCAGTATAGGATGGCATGTAAGATTCTTACTGGGGAAACATGTTCAAATCCTACTCTGCTGTTAAGCTCACACTGGTTGTGTTGACACTTAATGTAGTTTATTTGGCAGTCCATGAATAAAACATGATTTATTTTAGCACAGTAAGCCAAAGTTTGAAACAGTGTTTTAATTTTGGCTTACTGACTGCTGCTGTGGCTTCACATGATATGCAGATGGGAATACATGATATATTTGTAATTATTGCTTTGTAGTAGCTTTCAGATATTATTTGAATATCCGTATAAGAACAGTGGCGTTGTGGCATTGACTTTTTCAGCCTACACATATTCCTTATAATGTGCTAAAAAAATGCTGCATATCTCGATATGTAAAGTGGTGTTTTTTTTAATTGCATACCCAAAATAGAGTAGTTGATAAATATTGCAACTCCTCTCCCTTGTTTCATTTTACGGGGTATTTACTCTAAAAGGAGCTAATAACTGTGTAGGAAAATGTAATCTAAAAGTACACACTTACTGGGCAGAATATGTTCCAGATAAGTGAGTATAGGATTGTGTGCATTTATTTAATTAAATTAACATGTGAATCCAACAAATAAACAGGAGAGAAACAATATAATACGTATTAAAATATTTTTCCAGCACTTCTGAGATAAAAATCTAGATTACTTGAGAGAAGAACAATGACTATTCCTTCTAGAATGATTTGGAAGGCAAACCTTCTAGATCATTCTAGAAGTGAAACATCACACCTGACAAGGCATTCTTCTTTTGTAGCCACCTAGCTGATGGTATTAGTCAAAAGCACTCAAAACATGGCCTCCAAAGATCACCAAAATGTCTAGACAGGTGCATAATGAGACATTCCTTTAGAACAGTATTTCTCAGCCTTGGAACTACCAATTGTATAGACTTCAACTTCCAGAATGTTGCAACCACCATCCATTTCTGAGAATTCTGAGAGTAGAAATCCATCTGTCTAAAAGTTGCCAAGGTTGCCTCAATTCATTTTGGGTTGTAATTTTATTAGTGGAATATGACTTTTACCAGAGATTACACTGGGTCCTTAGTGCAACAAACCTATATTCAGATCATAGTACTTGAATAGAAAATGATCTTCTAGTTTCTCTCTTTCCCTCTCTATGTATGTATGTATATGTATACTTTTAAAAATAACAAATATTCAGGATTTTTCTCATCATTCTTAGGACTCCTGCAAATAAAGTAAATGATCCAAACTGAATTACTTGTGCTATTGCTATGAAAAGTAGCACTGTAGGTCAGTTTTTAATTAAAGCACTAAGTCCACTGGATATATAGGGTTCAGATATAAAACACTTAGTAAAGTCTACTGGTCTGGGAATAATCACCCAATCAGGAACACCATAAAATAGTAATACTCATTTTTAAAGCACTTAAATGCAAATAGAATAATTATTCAAGTGAAGTCATTCAATTATTTGGGAACATGCATGAATGGTTCAGATTTGACATAGTAGAGATCTAACAACACAGGTATAGTTCTGTTCATAATTGTCTATGTCCAGAGAATAATATTTAACACAACTATAATAGCGTGGGAAGATTATGATGAGAAACTTGTAAGTAAAATACTTGTGACCCACTTTTTGGTTATTCTAAAAAAAGGATTTATGATACAGGTTTGCACAAATATGTTACATTTGTAACATATTCTTCATTACCATCATCATTTTCAACAAACTGAGTGCTGTTTCCTTAGAAGTTGTGCTATTAATATTATTACCCAAAATAGTACCTCATTTAGCCAGCTATTTTCTGTTTTTTAGTTTGGTTACATTCTAATATGCATCTTTTTCAGATTTATTTTTAGCTGTAATGCACTTACCATTTTCAGCCTTTTAATAGCACAGTAGAAACATAAGGCATGAAACTTAGGGTTGATTTACCATTTATCCTTATAAATAGATGTTAAAAAATGTGGCAACAGCAGAATAAATGGAAGGAATAATATAGAAATAATGGGCTAATTCCCATTAAACCAAGGGCTACATCAGCCCTTTTTTCTAGCTCCAGAGTACCCTAAAATTATACTGTAGAAATTCAACAGTAAACCCTGAATTACAATGACAAAATTTCCCATTGATTTTCTGTGGGGAATGAAAGGAAATAAACGCAACAAGCTAGATTTAATGTTCCTATTAATGTTAAAAATACCCCCTGAAATCTCATTAATAAATGTTCCGCTCC